GGGGGGGGGGGGGGGGGGGGGGGGGGGGGGGGGGGGGGGGGGGGGGAGAGAATAGAGCGCAGAAAGCTACAGGAATGGAGCGCCCGGCTATGGTGGAAACTCAAAGAGGGCACGCAACAACTCACCGTGGTAGGAATGCTCACGAAAGTCAGAGAGCGCTTCGCTGCTGGGTCGCCGGCTGCTCCGCCCGCCTGCCCGAGAGCCTCCGCCAGGCTCCCCCGCCCGGACATGTCGTCCAGGACGCTGATGATGTCGTCCAACTTGCGCTTGCCGCCCGCGCCGCTGGCGGCACTCCCTGCGTCATCCTCGGCGGCGGGTGCAGGCGCCGCAGCCGCAGCGGTGGGTGTGGGCGCGGGAGAGGTAACAGCAGCAGGAACTGCGGCGGGAACAGCAGGAAGGACCAAGTACTCTCCGGGGATCAAGAGACCACGATGGCCCTCGCACCGCCACAGGTATTCGACCACAGCTTCAGGACGGCCCGGCGTTGGCGCTGCGCGATCTCCTCCGCCGAAAAGTTGGTGCCTTCGGCGGCCTTGACTGCGAGAGACAGAAGGGCCAGGGGGCTAGGAGCACCCCCCGCAGCGGCGAGGGTTGTGCACGAGCGATGCAGCTCGTCGACGGTGGCACCCGAGGCCGGGCGCAGCGCGCCGCCCCCGCGGATGGCGATCTTCTGAGGCTGCCAGACGAAGGCGTTGCAGTCGCCCAAGACAGAGACGACCTTGCCGATTTCTTCGACACTAGAGGGTGGTGTGGCCGTGGCCATGTTGATGTCGAGGGCACTCGTCACGGGTGTATGTTGGGTGGATATGCTGAAGAGTGAAAAACAAAGAAGGTATGGATCTAATGCTAGGCTATTGTGAAGCTACCACCGCAGGCGATCCTGGGATACTACTGGGGTGGGGGCCTCGACCAAGTCGATTCAGCTGCAAAGCCCTAGGGCCAGTGGGCCGGGGCGTGCTGGCTGACGACTGAACGGTCTCAACAGAGCACTCTCTTATCTTTGTATTCCTGTGGGAACAGGGTTCACAATTAAATTGAAGAGTGAGATGGCGCATCTGACTTCTCAAATGTTGTCTCTTCATTGCGTGACAGAGCTGGGCGCGATTTTTCTCTTTCCCATCTCCGTTCCTCAAAGTCTAATACCTGCAATCAGCGCTGCCCCATGCGGTTCATCGACTTA